TTGAAGGTCCTCTATGGCTTTTCTTTTTCTGCAAACTCCTGACATTGCTTTTCCCAGATTTCTTTCACTAACATATTTTATTTTCATACTAGATACTACCCCTAAACGATCTCATTCACTGAGAACATTCAAAATTTGCTCCCGTGGTTATTCTGCAAGTATGTACTGAATTGTCCATGCCATTCTTTACTGCAAGGTACAGTTTTAGGAAAAAACGTATTGATTAAAAATCAGGCAACAGAGAGAGAAAAACTGTTACAATGTGATTCCAATCATTTATAAAAGCAAAATCAAGTGCAATTTTGTGTACAAATGGTGTACATTAAAGACTTTTCTATTTTAGATGTACCTTAAAGAGAAATATTAGCTTAACTCTTTTGACATATGCTCTTGTGACATATCCCATTGTTGGCAATGTGGTGCACACTCCCAAACTTTTAACTACTGTTTTGCAGCCTCCAAAGGCAGCACTGAGGAGTCCTAGGCAGTGCTTTGTTTGCCTTCATGCCATTCATTTGCTGGGCATTCCACTAAATGTAGAGAGATACTCCTAAGTGCTATGATTGAGCACCCTGCTGCAGGTAGTGTAATGCTTCAGAAGAGGGAGCTTATATAAAGGGAATAGGTGCTGCTGATTTAATTTAAACAGTTGCGTGAAGTAGTGTGGAGGCTCCGGCCTGCTGTTCATTCTTTAGGATAGACTGTTCTAGTATCTGGTTTTGATTTAGAGACTGCTTATAAGGAACATCACCAGGTGGTGGGATTAATTTGAAGCCTTACTTTTCTGTTTTAAAGGTTTCATCTAATTTTACCTTCCTGAGATTTTAAAAAACAAAACAAAACAAAACAGGGACCAGCAGTTGGTGTAATGGCTATGTGGCTAGACTCCCATTTGGTTGACCATGGTTTGAGTCCCAGACCCGGTGGCTTAAACTCATGCCAGGCATGTTTACATGCATGCCCAAGATCCCGAGAGGAGTATGGAGGAGAAGGGATTGTGACGTGGCCATCCCCCTAGGGGGTGATTTCTTGCTTTCTGTCTCTCTGTCTCTCTCTGCCTTTCTGGTGAGTGCATGTGCCCTATAGCAAAAACCTCTCCAACAAAACAAAACAAATAAAAATCAGGCAACAAAAAAGCCTATAAATTAACAAAGATAATCTTAACATACCAGTGAAAGAAGAATTGGTCATTTCCATGTAGAGGTCTGTGAGAGAGTATATAATCTGAAAACAACTTATTGGTATCAATCATGAAATTCATGTTCTTATCATTATTTTATTGAGTGCACCAAAAAACTCATTATAGTTTGGCTTATTTATTTTTTAAACTAGCAAAGGCAACATTTTGATAAGCCATGTTTTGAAATATTTTATTTTCTTGACTTACTGCTTAAATAATTTATAATTTCGGACAGCAGATGGGTCCAAGTCCTGGACCTAGCAACTTAAAACTCACGCTGGGCACATGTGTGTGCGTGCCCAAGATCCCGAAAGGGTAATGGAGGAGAAGGGATTGTGACGTGGCCATCCCCCTAGGGGGTGATTTCTTGCTTTCTGTCTCTCTCTCTGGTGAGTGCCTGTGCCCTATAGCAAAAATCTCTCCCAGAATAATAATAATAAATTAAATAAGTAGTTACTTTTAAAATTTACAATTTGTTTTTATCAACTTATTAAAATTAATTAAGGACACTTGAAACTGCCAGTTAGAACTTCTGATTCACTTATGTAACCACTGTTCAAAATTAAAATAAGTCAAAGACAGTTTTAAAAAGCTTTAAACTATGCTGTTACTTGACCTAGCAATTCTACTGGGCATACTTCAAAAAAATTGGTAGAAAATGTGTACAAAGACTTAGCCACAAGCTGTTTATAATATTAAAAAAATTGGTCTACATATCTAACAATAAGAAATAGTTGAACTAAGGTACATTCAAAAATACTAAGTAGTCTTTACAAATTATGTTGTAGGTTAATATTAATATGAAAAGTTGCTCATGAGATAGTTTTAAGTGAAAAAAAAAAGAAGATATCAAAATAATTATGATCCAGTGTTTGACTCCCATAGTTAGAATAGAATTGCTGCTAGTGTGGGCTTTCTAGTATTGACCAACTCTTTCTCTAAGTTTGTTTGCACTAACTGATATCCATTATGGCCTTTGTTCTAACTGGGAGAAGAGGTACGATTGGTGGAAATGGGGAGGAGCTTACACAGATATGGCAAGTACAGTAAGGTATTTATTATACATCCCGCCTGATTTCTCATACTAGGTTGAGCTCCTGGGCTATAGAATGAGAGCTGGAAAAAATAGAGGTATTTTCTTTATGAGAATCTCATAATTCTGGGAAAGGGACTAGGAATCAAAAGGTGCATAAGAGTTTAGGAAAGAACTGCTTGGTTTGTGCATACACAGAGATGACTCCTAGTCATAGTGTTTTTCTTTGATTCTCTCACAGCGTAAATTACTTCTGTGATCCCACAGTGTGTCAAGACTTCTCCCCACCAGCAAGCAATCAATTCTCAGCAAACATCAGCAGGGTGTCCTCTAATCAACTCAATTCTGACATGATCTACCTGGTGGTAGTGTTGGATTCCACCGGTTGAAGGCTTAGTACCCAAGCCTCTTCTACCCCTGGCACATACACACTTTAGAAACCAGTTGGAAATCCAAACCTTGAGAACTTCTGACCAACTGACTACATGGTGGGTTCCCATGAATGCCTCCGCCCTTCAGGTTTGGCTCATTTGCTACAGCGGCTCACAGAACCAAACAATCAAGTACTTCCAATTTCTGGTTTATTATAAAGGATATTTTAAAAGACACTGATAAAGTGATTCATAGGAGAAGGCATGTGGGGGAGGGGTGGGATATGGCGTGTCCATGCCCTCTTGGGGTATATGCCCTTTTAAGAACCTCCAGGAGCTCAGCTATACTGAGACTTTCTGAACTCTGTCCCTTAGGATCTTTATGGAGACTTTATTGTATAGGAATGAGGGTAACAGACTGGGTAAGGAACCCAGCAAGGCCTATGTGTTCAAATTTTTGACCTGTATATGGGGCATTCCTTCACCCCTGGTTATGGGGTGTGACCCTTCCGGAAGGAGGGTCCTAAAGGTGGAGGAAGATTGGAATTTTCATGACCTCCCTTGGGTCATGAAAATTTACCTTTTCCTCTGCTTCAGGAACCAAGGACAAAAGCCCATATATTTATGAGCTAGGATCTTTGGATGAAAACCCAAAAATGTATAATATCAAAGTGCCACAGTCACAACTAGTGGCAATGGGAACCTGGAAAAAGTAGCTGCTATTCTGGGTACCCATGTGTCCAGTTTAATATTGTACTTTTATAAGCACATATTGGATGGCAACCAACAGTCCCTATAACAAACATTAAATATTATTTACTTTTGTCTCCTAAAACTGAGCATCACTAGGTAAGGAGTAATTTCTTTCTTTCTTTCTTTTTTTCTTTGTCTTCTTTTTAAAAAATTTTTTTAAGAGTTTCTTTTTACTTAGGGTGCATACACTCACAGGAAAGAGGGAAAGACAGAAAGCAAGAAATCACCCCCCCCCCCCCCGGGGGGTTGGCTATGCCACAATCCCTTCTCTTCCATTCTTTACTTAGGATTTTGGTCATGCACGCACATACACACAGAGTTTCAAGTCCCCAGATCCCAGACAGGCACTGCCATCGCCATGTGGGAGTTCAGTACCTTAACCACCATGCCACCTGCTGGTCCCAGGAGTAATCTCTTTCTTTCTTTTTGTGGTTTTTAGTTTTTGTTGTTGCCATAGGGCATGTGTGCTTTCTGGAGAGAGGGAGGGAAAGTTTTTTAAGGTTAGCTATCACCCCTCCTTCCTAAGGAGGATGGGCACCCAGTAATACCTTCTCCACCCTCCATTCTCCTCTCAGGATTCTGGGTGCCCCCACACATGTGCCCATCACTAATCTGGACTTGAACCTGGTTAGCCAACTGTGAGTTCAGAGTAATTTCTTTCTTCTCTTTTTAATTTTTTTAAAAAAAGAATTATTTATGATTATTATTATTTTAACTTTCTATAGGGCACATGTGTGCACGCGTGCGCGCGCTAGAGAGAGAGACAGACAGAGACAGAGAGAGAGAGGGAGAGAGAGCTGCCAGGTCTGAGATTGAACCACCATGGACCATGTGAGATACATACCTGCAACGCCCTCCCCCTCCCCCTCCCCCATTCTTTCTAACGAGGTTTAAATGTAGAGAATCCAGCATAGTCCCTGGATGATAAACTTTCAAGAAATGTGTAAATATTTTATCAAACTAAGAGTTACCACAAAAATCAGATGTCAGACCTGAGTGCTCGGTCTTAAAGAGGATGTTTTCCAACCATTTTGAGTCTATTATCTCAAAAGAACTTGAAGTCTTATCCTCCCTCCTACCCTTCCTGATTTTAGTATGGACATGTGTTTCCCAAAGGAAACACAGAAAATAGTGTTTCCTACACAGTGCTAGTTAGTTTTCTTACAGCAGTCTGCTGGGGATACCAAAAATGCGTTCCCATCCCTTCTGTGGCATTTAACCTTAGGGGAAAGTCTATAAAGTGTAGCTAAAATCAAAGGCTTTGGCCTCGCGGCTACAATCTCTCAGCCGTGCGAGACCTCGGGCCATTGTTTATTTAACCTAATCCAAGAAACGGAAAGACCCGTAGTAATGCACTTCAGACGGTTGTGCTAAGGGTGAAGTGAGCGAAGGCCTGGGGAAGCTCCCAGAGAACTTGTTAAGCTTTATTTTCTCTCGCTTGGATTAAACAAATGATTGTCTCGTTCACTTAGTTCGTCTTCCAACTTCAGCGTTCTCAGTAGAAGCCGCTAACCGGGTTCCTCCAGCCGTCCCGCGGCCACAAAGCAAGACGGTCCGGCCCGCCGCCCCAAAGCACGGCGCTCCTTTCGACAGCGTACGACGCCCAGCCTGGCAGGAACACTTCGCGCGGGGGCCTGCGCGGGCCAATCGCGCTGCTCCGGGCGATGACGTAGGCTGCGCTGTGCATGCGCAGGGCGGGGAGACCTTGGCGGAGCCTGTGTGCGGAGGTGAAAGCCTTGGCGGAAAGGAAAGTACCGGGGCCAAAATGCAGAGCTGGAGTCGTGTGTACTGTTCCTTGGCCAAGGTGAGGGCCGACTGCGTGGGGTCATGCTGAGCTAGAGGCACGGAGAGGCCTGCTCGCCGGGCCCGGGACGTGGGTGGGAGGCCGGCGGCCTGGCCAGGGCCACCTCCTGGCCTCCTCTGCACCAGCTCAGCCCAGGCCGCTCCTCCGAGCTAATGGCTTGTACTTCGGCTGCGTTAGCCCAGGGGGCCTGGCTCGGGCAGTGGAGAATCTCTGCTCGTTGTGTGACTGCCGACAGTTACACCCCACAGTACTCAAACCAGGGCCGAGGAGACCTGTGGGTCACACACAGGCCTCCACCTTGGCAGAAGTGTAAGCCTTCCTTGTCTCACTTGGCCTGCTTTTCATACCTACTGCTTTCCTTATTCTAATCCAGACTCCTGGATGACCTAATTCTTGCAGTGTGCAGGTAACCTTGGGGCCACTGCTGGAATGACCCGTGCAGAATCAGCCTCAACAGATAGCCCCAGGGACTCTTTTTAAGGCCCATCAGCGTTTGCAGCTTTAAACTAGTGTCCACTGCCATCCCTCGGGTCCTCCTAAAGGCGTGTGCCTTTAATTGCAGCGAGTTATCCTCAAGACAACTTCCCCTTTCATCTTGTACCAAATACAGCTAAGTTCTATCTGGGATTGTGGCTTGGTATTTATGTTGGTAGAGACTTTAAAGATAATGTAGTGATCAAACCCCTTTGTTTCAAAGGTGAGGAACCTGTGTTCCCAGAAGTCAGTGCAACATACTAGATGTCATGTAAGATTGTGGAAATTATGGTTGTTTGTAAAACTGTAGCTTCAGACTACGAATACATTACTTAGTGCACTTTTCTAAGTTAAAACTTGTTTAATTTTCTGTTCCTAGTTGATAGCTCTGGAACATCTTCATATATTGTTCCTGGTACATACGGACTATATATACATGGTAGGAAATAATAGTTTCCTAGTAGAGTTAGGAAACAATAATTACAAGTGTCATACTGTAAGTTATTAAAGTACTTAGGTTAGAACTTCGACTGAAATGATCCCTGATACTAAAAATTAGTCATGCTGCTTAAAATTTTATAAGACTTAATAACATTTAATACATTTTTATTAGACTTAATCTTAGATTTTTTTGTTGACTATAAAAATGATAACTATGGCAAACTGAGGTTGTGAAAAAGAAGTGTTATTGTCAAAGAGGAGAAGTTGGTATGTAACCTCAGCGTGGCAATGGAAGATAATTACTAATCAGTGATTGATACATTTGCCCAAAATTGTTTTCATCCACCTTGAATAGTTCTGCTTTGAATTCCTATCTTATATAATAAGAATATCATCTCTTTTTTTCTAGAGAGGCCATTTTAATCGAGTATCTCACGGCCTCCAGGGAGTTTCTGTGGTGCCGCTGAGAACTTATGCAGATCAGTCGAGTAAGTATCAAAAACCGGTTTTCATCAAATGAGCTATCAGTATCTTGCGTTTCAGGGTAAAAGCAATTAAATACTGGAATAACTAATAACCTGTTTTAGAATTAATTTGTTCATGTCTGCTTAAATGTGTGTGAGCACCTAATGCATTCTAGGCAGTGAACAAGGCAAATGCCTGCTCTTACGGAACTACAGTCTGGTGATATGAGACAAACTGTATTTAACTAATTGATTAGTATTTTGGGAAATAATTGAAACTTAAAGCAGGTAACTAGGAGGAAACAAGACCATTGTAGATAGAGTTTCAGGGAAAGCCTTTCTGAGGAGATGATGTCTAGTAGGGACCCGAGAGAAGTGAGGGAGTGAGAAGATTATGTCCGGCAGAGAGAAAAAGCAGTAAGAAAAGTCTAAGGTAGAAATTAGCTTGTACAGTTTCAAGAGTAGCAAGAAAGCTGGCGAGGTTGGAGTAGGGACCTGTAGGTGGCAAAGTAGAATAGGTAGGCTGAGGTCAGATCATGGAGTGTGTTGTAAACCAGGACAAGTAGTTTGGATTTTATTTCAAGTATAATAGGAAGCCACCAGAGGGTTTTGAGCAGAGAAGCAACATCATGTGTCTTTGTTTTTAAGAGTTAGTTTTGTTTATTGGGTCAGATCGTGTTGGTTGTTTTAACACTGTTTAGAATACTGAGATGACTTTTGACATCTTGAATGGAAGTCTTAATGGATCAAAAAAAAGGTAAGTTTTAAAAACTAGTAGGATGTCGGCCCACCTTGTATCTTACTAGTTAACAGAGCCAGGTCCCATATATTCCACTGAGGTTCAAATCCCAGCCCCGGTGGGAGGATGTGCTCTAAATCCTGAGAGGATGGAGAAACAGAGGAGAAGGGATTGTGGCATGACCATCCCTCATTGGGGAGTGCTTTATCTCTCTTTTCTTTTTCTCTCTTTCTGTGCACACCCTTAGACAATTAGAAAAGTGGATGTGGGGGCAGTTTGTGGCATGATGGTTAAGGTGGCTGGATCCATCGTGACTATGTGGTTCAAGTCCTGGACCTCGCAACTTGAAAATTATGCAGGGAGCATGTGCCTGCATGCCTAAAATCCTAAAAGGAGGGAAAAACAGGAGAAAGGATTGCAGTGTGATCATTCCCATGGGAGGTGCTTTCTCACTTTCTCTGTCTCTGGCAAGTACATGTGCCCTCTGGCATATTAAAAAGTAACAAAACAAAACAGGATACAGTTTAAAAGGAAGCTATGGATTATGGAATTTTCTTGATACTTCTTTATAATTTTGAAGTTTCTGCTGTATCAATGTGTCTTATTTTTAAGCATTTAAAACAGAAGATTAATGAGCCTGTGTTTAGGTATTTTAACCCCCTAATACCAAGAATATTGGTTATTTGAACTTACTTATTTTGACATTTACTGGACTCACTTGTGTGTCTAGAGCTTCATTGTAGAAACCATTAGTTAGCTGGGGAGACTCTGTGACCTTCAGTCTCAACATTCTGTAATAATTTTATCATGTAACCTTAAGATGGTTAAACCATTATTTTTGATATTTCGTTTCTACGAGAAACCAGGGAGAGAGGATTCTGGTCACTAGTGAGTTAGTTATTCTAGCTCTATTCATGATAGAACCTTGCGTGTGTGCACTAGAGTAGCACTTTCCACAGTATCTGTTAACATGACTACTTTTTAAATTTTTTTATGGCTTATTCTGTACCTTGGGAATCATCTAACAAGGACTCATTCAGTGTCTTCCCTTTTTCCAGCAGTCCCTAAGTAGGAACTTAGATTTTAATGGAATGAATTTGAGTACTCCTTAATCAAACAGTTTAGTGATCTTTTGACATTGAGGAAATTATAAATCTCTTAATATCCATGTATATAAAGTGTGTAAAATATTTGAGTCTTTGAAATAACATTTTAAAATGAATTCATCTAAGGCATTTAAAAATAATTATTAATTTTATTTATTATTATTTTTAAATTTGCTATAGGCACATGCACTCACCAGAGAGAGACACAGAGAAAGAGAAAGCAAGAAAACAAGCTGCCAGGTGTGGGACCCAAACTGTAGTCAGCCATATGGGAGTCCAGCACCTTAACCACGACACCACATGCTGACCCTACCTTGGGCATTTATTTAATGACTATCTTTCCCTCAAGAATGCACGCTTCATCAGAGCAAGGACTGTAACTGTTCTATTTTAGGTGCTAAATAGGTGTTCAGTACATATTTGTTGAATAAATAACCCTGCTTCTTATTTGTTTTACTTATTGCCGTGGTACAAAATAAGTATCCAGTTCTAATGACAGTGATAATAAATGAGTGGTGCATTGAGAGCTTAACTCTGTGTCAGGTATGGTCTTTAATCCTCATGGCCCTCCTAGCAAATATGTGCTGCTGTTTTCCCCATCTAATAGATAGGGGAACTGAATCTAGAGAACTTGCCACCTAGGGAATGACAGAGCTGGGAGAAGAATCCTTCTGAATCTAGAGCCTACACTCAATTGCTATTCTATTCAGCCTGCTTCCTTAGATGAGTGCAGGTTAACCAGCTTAAGGAGCTTCAGTTTATTATGTTATAGTCCCTGTTGCAACATCTGGGAGATGTTTAAATATTCTTAAAATTGAAGTTCATTTAGATTTGCAAATGGAACCAGAGATGGTGTAGTGGTTAAGTCATTGGACTCCAACATGGCCTACTGTGGTTCAAATCCTAGACCTGGCAGCTTCCAACTCATGCCAGGTGTATTTGCATGTGTGTCCAAAATCCTGAGAGGAGAATGGAAGAGAAGGGATTATGGCATGGCCATTCCCCCAGGGTGATTTTTGTCTCTCTGGGGAGCGCATGTGCCATAGAGCAAAAATATCTCTTACATTCCCCCAGGGTGATTTTTGTCTCTCTGGGAAAATATCTCTTAAAAAAAAAGTTTGCACAGTTTTGTTTGTTACTATTAGTATGACTGTACATTTCATGACAGGAACAAAGTTGTAATACTTAATCACTCATATTCACTACATTCATTTGCTCTTTTTTGTTTGTTTGTTTTAAGGTTGTTGCCTTAGGGCATGTATGCTCACAAGAAGAGACAGTGAGAGGGAAAGCAAAAAATCACCCCCCCACCCAGGAAGAATGACCATGCTGCAGTACCTTTTCCTCCATTCTCCTCCTGGGATTTTGGGCACGTACACACATATGCCCAGTGCAATTTTCAAGCCACCAGATTCGGGACTTGAGCTGTGGTCTACCATGTGGGAGTCCAACACCTTGAGCACTATGCCACCTGCTGGCCCCTATTCTTGTTGTTTTATTCTTTCATTATCTCAACAAATACTGAGTATCTACTGTGTGCTCAGCTAGTTGCGAGGATACAGCTGCGAACAAGGCAAGACAGACCAGAATCAGCTTTTATAGGGCTAATAGTCCAGTTGGTGAAATCAAATATCTAAAACTAATTAATTATAATTGTGATAAATACACAGGGTAAAAGTAGAGAACTATAAAATCTGTATAGATTAAGAATGGTCAGGATTCCTTCCTAAGGAATTATATTGAGATCCAAAAGGGATCAGGACGGGAGTGGGCGATGGGAAGAAGTGTTCCAGGTGGAAGAAGTAGTAGAATTATTTTGGTGTGGGAAGGAGCATAGGAGTCGTCTCCAGAATGTTCATGGAAAATATATATTTAAAAACACTATGTATGGATCTCAAAAAAAACTTTTGCCCCAAATTAAACTGATACCTTAATTCCATTTATTACATGAACTATTTTGAAGTCCACGTATAATGCAGTTGAGGAACCAAAAAGGGCCAAAGTGGTTTGAACGTGCTGGAGATAGAGAGTTGATGTCTTTATTCTGAAAATCCTTAACTACGCCAGAAACAGTTGGAAGTCATTAAAGTGTTTTAAGCAGGAGGATGATAGAATCAAATTTATTTTAAAATATCACTCTGAGTGCAGAGTGGGCTTTTCTAGTATTTATTTTTTTCTGTCTAGTTAGACTGAGAGAGTCAGGGCTCTGTCATTTATACATGTTCCAAGAGCCTAGAGTAGTAATTATAAATTGAAGTGTGTGCTGCCGGTATTTATTTCTAGGAAAGTGGAACAGAATGTACATAGGTAGACCAGCATAATTCTGCACATGTAAGCTAATAATTCACTGTTACTTAAGCTTAAATTGCATGGTGTTGGTGGCTCAGGAGAATGTGCTGGGAGAAGAAGCTAGAGAAACAATTACTGAAGAGATTGAATGCTGTACTTAGGAACCTGGACTTTATCCAACCAAAGACAGGGAAGCCAATGAGGAGCAGGAGAATAGGATCCGATTTGGGTTTTAGCAGAGGATGACACTCAGGTAGCATTGTACAAACCAGGACTGGAGACTGCAAGAGCTCAAGTCAGGAGGTAGATCTGGGAAAGGAGAAATAATATGCATTTGACATCTTATGATCTTGACACATATTCTGTCTGATTCTCTCAGCCCTGGACTGTAGATATCATCCTTGCTTTCATCCCTACATTACATCAAAACCCAGAGACAGATTAAATAATTCATCCAAGGATTTAAGGGTGGTAATTCATATTTAACCCAGGTGTGTTTTACTTCAAAACCTTCTATTGTAGTTTTCTTCATCATGGACCAGGAGGTTATATGTAGGGTTATGATCAGAAAGTGAATGATTAGAATTTAGGATTTTCATGCCCAAGCAATTTTGGATGATTAAAAAGAATAGGGTGTGTGACGGTGGGAGAACGTTAAGGCCAATGACAATTTTAAAACAACCTCCCCAACCCCAATAAGATGTCAACAAATAAATCTTACCAAATAGTTCTTATACTCTCCTTAGTGAATTTGTTAATTAGTGACGACTGCCTTATGTTACCTTTTCTCCTACTTCTTTTCTTTTTAAAAATAATTTTGTTTTATCTTCATTTTTACATGTGCCTGTTTTCCCTCAGTATATGCTAAGGTTTTCTCATTGGGTAGGTATTCATAAATACTTAGATTTCAGTTTCTTGTCATTTTAGTTGGAGTTCTGATTTCCCTGGAGGTGATGGGATCATCTGAGTGTTTTCTTTTTAAATTTGCCAGAGAGTGGGTACACATGTTGGAGAGAGAAAGTGAGAAAGTACTTGCCTTGGAGATGGTCAATCCATAGTCCTTTCTCTGTTTCACCCTTGTTTTGGGATTTTGGGCATGCACACACATACACCCTGTATTTTTCAGGCCACCTGTCTGGAGCCAAAACTTTGCAGTGGGCTATATGGGATCCCACTGCTTAAACTACCATGTGTTAGTGGGCCCTCATCTGCCTGTGTTGAAAGGCAATAGAATATGTGATTTAGGAGCTTAAGTTTCAGAATTTAAGGACCTGTTTTGAACCCTGGCTAGCTCACTTCGTAGTTGTACATCTTTGTGTAAGTTAGTTCTAGGGTTTTTTCCCCCAGTACAGGGGCTGGCCAAGTAGTTAAGGGAGCCAGATCCTACATGGCTGACTGTGGTCCAAATCATGGTCGCATTGGCTTGAAAAACACTCTAGGCACATGTATGTACATGCCCCAAATCAGGAAAGGATGGAAAAATGGAAGAGAGGGGATTGTGGCATGACCACACTTCATTGGGAGGTGCTTTTTTCTTTCTTTGTCCCTGGTAAGCACAGTCACCCTCTAACAGGAAAAAATAAAAAACAAAAACAAAAAACTATACCAATACATGGGAAGCATTTAACTCACTGATGGGCACACAAGAAATTACCCAAATGATAGTAAACTGGTGCATTGAAATACATCTTGTAATTTATTAGTGATTATAAGTGATTTATAACCCAAAATCTTTATTTCAGCAGTAGTCCTAATAATGTTGTGCTTAGTTTTCCTCAAAATGATAGGATAAGTAACATTTATAGAGTAATTTGCAGAACACTTTTTCCTGATTTTTCTTTTTCAGTTAATTTTTATGGCATTAATTGCCATGTTTCTGTTAATACATCTTATTTTGCCCCCCCCCCCCCTTTCAGTGTATTAGTTCTTTTAGTTTTTTTTTTTTTCTATAGGATGAGTGCTCCCACTGGGGGGGACAGAGAGAAAGTGAGAAGTCACTCTTCTGGAGGGATGGCCACACTGTACTCTCTTCTCCTTTCTCCTCTCAGAATTTTGGGGGCACACACACACACACACACACACACACACACACACACAGTGTGATTTTCAAGCTGCCAGGTCCAAGACTCAAACAGCCAAGTTGGCCTTCTGAGATCCAGCTACTTGAACCTTCATGCCACCTGCTGGCTCACCCAGTATTTTTGAAGTATCAACTTCTGCTGATACTTCACTGACACCTGAAATGCAGATTGCTATCCAGTTGTCTTTATCATTTTTGCTAATAGCCATCTCTCTCTCTCATGCTAACAGTTTGTATATCAGTTCAGTTTCTTTTCACTCTTAAAGGCTGATGGCACTCTTGTAAAAGTTTTCCATCAAGTATGTCGTAAATTAATATATTTCATTTAAATACTCTTCTGTATCAATATTTTAACTTTATGTATGGGAACTAACCTGAAATGCTTCTTGACAAGGAGAGGGTACGTCAGAATCATGTGTTGTAAATTTTCACTTACATGTGTCCTTTGGTACAAGTGAGAATTGACTGGTTTGTTTTTCTACCATTTTATTATGAAAAATTGCAAATTTTTAGAAATGTTGTAAGAATTTCAAGTTTAACACCTCTAGTTTCTTCCATTAACACTTCTGTGCTTAACATAGATACATATCTGTCCATGTATTTATTTATCAGTTCATCTTATTTTTGTTACATTTCAAAGTAAGCCTTAGACATCTGTATAGTTCCCCTAAATACTGGCTTGTTCATAAAAAATTGTCATTGGATTGTACCCTCTCCTCTTTTTATTCTTAGCTAACAAATCTCTAGATAGAAATTCTGCCTTTCCCCCCTCTGTTTTGTGCTTTCTGCCATGTTAGTGGGATTGCAATGGCAGCTTGTATCTATTAATAGTATCTTCAGTGAGAGGTGGACTGTTTGGAACTTGGTATTTTCTATAGTTGTTAAAGTATTAGTTTGTTTGTTTTTCCAGAGAGTTATTTTTTGTAAATATTAAGCAATTCACAGTTTCATATCAATTTGCTTTTATTGTAGTTGATGCTGATGTAACAGTGATAGGTTCTGGTCCCGGAGGATATGTTGCTGCTATTAAAGCTGCCCAGTTAGGCTTTAAGGTAAGGTTTAAAAGCGAATGAGGTGTTGACTCATTTCTAGTTGGGAAGAGTAGAACTTATTCACCAACTTTTATACTTTACAGGTAAAATCATGGTAAATAATTTCTTAACTCTATAAATTATCTGTAATCTTTTTTTTTTGAGAGGTTTTTGCTGTAGGGCGCGTGCGCTCGCCAGAAAGCCAGAGAGAGACAGAGAGACAAAGCCAGAAATCACCCCCCAGGGGGGATGGCCATGCCGCAATCCCTTCTCCTCCATTTTCCTCTCGGGATCTTGGGCACGCACACACACGTGCCTGGCGCGAGTTTTAAGCCACCAGTCCCAGAACTCGAACGACGGTTGACTACATGGGAGTCCAGCGACATAGCCATTACGCTAACTGCTGGTCCCTAAATTATCTGTAATCTTGAGGGTAATGAAGAGAGGGTTCATTGAGTTGTAGTACACTCCTGGAAGGGAAAGTGAAATCCACTATTTTTTTTCTCTTGTAGTACTTTTTGTCTTCTGATTATACTTTGGAAGAGGCAATGGTAGAACTAAAAGTGTATATTTGATAATGTTAAACAAACAAAAATATATTTTAGAATAATTCACTTTTAAGTTAGTCTGAGCTTAGCATTATTCAAATGATAAATTTTAAAGGACACAGTATTTTAGTCTATTTAAAACACAGTTGAGTATCTTGTTTTGTAGAATTAAGACATTTTTAATGAACTGCAAGTTGTAGGTTATGTGCAGTTAAATCATGTTTTCTTTGGTTGTAGACAGTCTGCATTGAGAAAAATGAAACACTTGGTGGAACATGCTTGAATGTTGGTTGTATTCCTTCTAAGGTGAGCATGCTTGTACAGCATAGGTTTTTTTCCTCCAGGTGCTAACTAGAATAAAGCAATGACACTGGATTATTAGACTAATACAATAATATGGAAATAATCCAAGGGTGATAAAAACAAAAACAATCCAACAGTTTTCCTTTGTAAAACATGAGAGTTATCATCAGTCTGCCATACATTCCTGAAATAGCTTCCTTCCTTGCTTCAGAACTTTAGCCTTTCCATTCACACAGAATCTGAGATTTCATTTTTTTCTCCTTAGCTTTCCTTTATCAGTGAAACATTATAGGTAGTAAGTTCTCCTTTTGGGTCCTTCATGTATGTGAACATGACTCTCTTTTTCACCTGCCACCTTGAAGTGTATATACCTTTGCTTTATAAAGAAAGTAAGAATGCTTTTTTAAATCTTATTTGTTCATTTTTTATATCATTGTCATTTGTCTTAGATTATTTACATAAGTGAAACTGAGTTGGTGTAATCCTGTGTACTATTGTATGTAGAGAATAGCATTTCATAGCTTTTTTTAAAATAAGGTTTTTGCCAGAGTGCTTGTGCTCGCTGGAGAGAGAGGGAGACAGAGGGAAAATGAGAACTCACCCCTCGTTTGGCCACACCACATTGCCTTCTTCATTCTCCTCCTGGAATATTTTAGGCACACATGAACACGTGCATGGCCTGTTTCAAGCTACCAGGCCCCAGACTCAAACCGCAGTTAGCCATGTAGGAGTCCAGCACCTTAATCACCGTGTCATCTGCTGGCTCCTCATAAGTGCTTTCTGATCATACTCGTCTGTGTATGAATATTTGATAATTTTTTCCTTTTATTTTCTTTAGGCTTTATTGAATAACTCTCATTATTACCATATGGCCCATGGAAAAGATTTCGCATCCAGGGGAATTGAAAGTAAGTGTGTTTTTCATATTTAGTGATATCACTAGACATGTTTGATTTGACTCTTCTTGTAGAAGGTTTGCATGTGTCTAACAATTGTGTAGTAGATATTTAGTGAGGGAAGACTCGAAAATGTGGAGAGATTTACTTAGGAAAGAATGCTTAAATTCAGTTTCTGCCTTGATATTTTCTATTCCTTTGCCAACTATTTTATTTTCAGATTAATTTTGCATTTTACATGAAGTCTCTATCATGATGTATAGTATCTATATCTTTTTCAACGGAGAACTTCACACTTTTTTTTCTGTTAAATGTTTCTTCCCTTTGCATCTCACAGCCAGCCTCTACAACCCCTCTTCCTTACAGTCTCTGGTATCTACACTCATCCTCTCTTCTATTGTATCTTCAGATTTTTCCATTGTTTCTTTTTTTTTTTTTGAGAGGTTTTTGCTGTAGGGCGTGTGCGCTCGCCAGACAGACAGAGAGAGACAGAGAGATAGAAAGAGAGAAATCACCCCCCAGGGGGGATGGCCACGCCGCAATCCCTTCTCCTCCATTCTCCTTTCGGGATCTTGGGCATGCACGCACACGAGCCCAGCATGAGTTTAAGCCACCAGGTCCGGGACTCGAACTGCAGTCGACTACGTGGGAGTCCAGCTACATAGCCATTACGCTAACTGCCGGTCCCTAAGATCTCATTGTTTCTTATAGCTGAGTAGTATTTCATGGTATATATGTGCCACAGTTTTTCAACCCAGTCATCAGTTTTTAGAAACTTAAGTTGATTCCATGTTGTAGCCTGAAGTCTACTTTTGTGTATGTATGTGAAGAATCAGATTTCATTTCCCTGAAACCTGGAGATCACTGGGGGAGGGCGGGGGGAGGTGGATTCCTGAGTGCTATGGGCAGATAAAACTAAAGGGAGGAGGAAAGGTCTTCCTAACTTGTTGGTAGTGGAATGAACAGAGGAGAGAGAAAGGTGAAGCATAGTAGAAAAGGAGGAGGACATTTCTTAACATTAGAATGTGCTGTACTTGTCTCCTGCTATACCTTTTGGGGCTGTTTTCATCTTTGTTCTCTAGTTGTAGGCAGATAACTGTTGTAGGCAGGTAACTTCCAGAAGAGAAATCTGTTCTAGGAAAGTTTAACTATACCTTGGGGTATTAATTTTCTTTCATTTCTGTCTTTACAACTTTAGATTTCTGAAAGCAAGGGCTATGAATAGGCAGTTCAGTGGGTGTAGCAGTGATGTATATACATTAAAACTATATTAACTAGATGAAAAGTAGAGTGATGTAAGGAAAGGGTGGGGTGGGATAATTAGACCTGTGTTGTAGAAAGGCTTTACATTCTAGTTCTGTGACCTTGGTAATTGGAAGTGTTTCAGGATCTCTGTTTCTGAATCTCTAAAATATATGATAGTTGCCTGAGTTGTTTTTTAAGATGTATTTCTTATCTCTATAGTTCTACTGAGTTGGGCATTTTTCCTTATATTGTTACTTTAGAGTTATCTTCTGACATAAATGAGTGATTGAAATGTAGGTGATTAAACTAGATTCTTAAATGAAACCTCTGTATTTGAAGTTTTCAGATAATGTATTTTTTGTCTTCATGAAGTTTAGCATTTCCCTTTGTTCAAAATTTCAGGAGATATTTTACTTTATTTCTAGTTAAATATCTTTGAAATTTATAACTAGCATAAGGTATTTGGAGAACACACAGTGGGATATAGTATTTTATTTTGGGTTTCATTTTTACCCCAGGTATACACTTTACAGTGTTTGATAGAATCTGTTATTGTGATACAATGTTGTTGGCCTTTTTTTCAGCTGTGATTATTATTGCTTATTAAACTTAAACATTTTAATATAGCCTTTTATACAGATTTGTAAGCATTAGATTGAAATTTTCCAGACCTTGATTAGGAAAAAATAGTCCACATTGCTTCTGACATTTAGATAAATTCTAAAGATTTATTTAACAAATTACAGTGTCTGAAGTTCGCTTGAATTTAGACAAGATGATGGAGCAGAAAACTACTGCAGTCAAAGCTCTAACTGGTGGAATTGCCCATTTATTCAAGCAGAATAAGGTTGGTACTTAATGTTTGGACTGCTTTATTTTATATGTGTAATAAATATTGCATTATGGTAATAGAGTGATGTTATTTGGACATGACACTAGATGATATTTACTTAATTAGACTGCAAATCTAAAATAGATTACTATGACAAATATAATGAATTTTTTGCTATTTCATATGTAGCAGTAAGGGGGGACACATTTTGTATCAAGTAAGTCAGTATATTTTTTCAATTATGTTTATCAAAAGTCATTTCAAATTTTGAATTTATAAACATTATCTTATAAAGGTCATTCATGTAAATGGATATGGAAAAATAACTGGCAAAAATCAGGTTACTGCTACGAAAGCTGATGGCAGCACTCAAGTTATTGATACAAAGAACATTCTCATAGCTACAGGTTCAGAAGTCACTCCTTTTCCTGGAATCACGGTATTTGCATTTTATAATTTACAACTCTTAAAACATTCTTTTAAATATGTTTTATAGGGCCAGCAGGTGGCTTGGTGGTTAAGGCGGTAGTATTCCACATAAGTAATTATGTGGTTCAAGTCCCAGACTCAGTGGCTTGAAAAACATGCTGGACGTGTGTGTGTGTGTGTGTGTGTGTGTGAGAGAGAGAAAGAGAGAGAGAATGTTTGCACATTTGCTGATGTGCATGCCCAAAAATCTTGAAAGGAGAAATGGAGAAGAAAGGATTGTGGCATGGTTGTACCCCGTGGGGGATGCTTTCTCATTTTCTCCCTCCCTCAAACACATATATGCACCATCTGGCAAATAAACCAACAACAAAAAAAGATGTTTTATAAATTACTTTAAAACTTAGATTTCTGACTGGAATACTATGATTTGACAGTATTTCAGCTTTAGGAAGTTGGCTATCTTTATTCTGTGGTGATTTTGACTATCTACAGAGCACTTTATATTAAGATATATTTAAATTCAATTTGAAGTTAAAATTGACCATTGTATTAATGTTAAATGATAAAATTTAAAGTTAGGGGGGTTTTTTTGAGAGTTTTTCTTTTTTTTTTTTTTTTTTTTTTTTTTGGTTTTTTGTCTCT